TCTTCTTCTGTATTCTACTGTACGGACGTAAATTTACATTTCCTTCAGCCTGAGGCTTATTCGTTTCACTTTTGGTGTGAAAAGGCTTTTATATTTGCCAAAAATATAACTTTTTTATTTTAAAAACAAACAAGCAAGCCCTGTTCAGATTTAAAAAGTAACGCAAAAGTAACGTAACGCATTACTTTCCATAAAAAGTAACTAAGTAACGTAATTAGTTACTTTTTTATGGAGTAACGCAATATTGTAATGCATTACTTTTAAAAGTAACTTTCCCCAACACTGCTCATGAACACTGTGTAAATTGAAGGGTATGAAAATTAATGTAATAAATGTGTTTATGTAAGCTTTGTCACATCTGATGTGTGTGGTTATGTGCAAAAAAGGGTTAAATATAAATATGACATTCTAAGACACGAAACAACTGATTGCCCATAATAAGTAAATATAAAAGCACAGACTAAATGTACAGATCAAGTAGACCGATAACCAATATTTTAAACCAATATGTCACAATTAAGAAAAAAAAGGCCTCTGACAAAACTTTCTTTAAATGCTTTTAAATTATTTAATTGACAAATCGATTTTGAAAATTAACCATTAAAATGCTTAATATCTGCACCGATGATCGGCCAGGCCGATAATCGGTCGACCCCTACTCATTACACAATGCTACAACACAAATTACTTGTGTTGTAGCATTTTCAATCTGCATTTAATATCCAACAAAAAGCATAGGCTATTTAAAGTTATATGTAGCAAAATGTATGTTTTAGTCAAAAGTTTGGCATTCATTTTTCTAATGCGTTCCATCTGTTTTGTGCAAATCCAGTAAGTGAATACAGTCATGTTTAAAGTGTGATGTTATTCAACTGTGGTCTTTAGCGTCCTTGTTAGTGCGTCTGCCTCCCATGCCGGAGACACCGGCCCGAATCCTGCTCAGAGTGAGCGAGTAGAGTAGAAACGGAGGGGTTATACATGCATATTTTAAGACCTGATATTAATTGAATATTGACAATGTAGCACATCTTCGAGCAAATGTTAATTTGATCAAACTACAGTATATCGAAAGTATGGTTCAAATGACTAAATTCTCTCTCTTTCTCTTACTTTTTCTCTTAGAAACCTTGGAAAGTCGGGACTACGTGTTTCTTGCTTGGGTCTTGGTGAGTAACTATAAGCTTTGGTTATCTCTCTTTAAGACTAAAATTGCTCAAAGTTTAAAGTGGAGAGTCAGTTATTTATTTAAACCTGAAGTGTCTATTTTTCCATGTTTAAATGCTTTCATTTATTCCAGCTTATGCACTGACAACTATAAATAAGCCACAACATCCATCTGAGCATCTAAACCAGCCTGACACAGCAGCATTAGCTCAATCATCGGGCTGAGGGTTTTGGCAGGGATACCTGTATTGTAATGACAGACAGGGGGAATGTTGGGAAATCTGTTGAAATCGATCATTATTTTACCACACACGGTCTTTCTCTCCACAGGTACCTGGGTGACGTTTGGATCTCAGATCTCCGATGAGGTGAAAATTGTTTCTTAATTTCACATGATATTGTTTTATATCATTTTGATATTACACACTCATGTCATTCCATACTGTAACTTGTAACTTGTAACTCTAACTTAAAAGAAGAAATTCTGAGAAATGTCAGAGTGTTTTATATATTCTTTTCTATATATGCAGTAGTCAATAAGCAAACATAAACATATCTAATGCATGATAGTCTGCTCAAGTTTAAATACTTTTTCGGTGGTACCTGAAATGTTTTGCACAAAGATGATTTCCTTAAGGGGCCAGATCTCTGTCATCTTCTGCATGTGTTTGTGTGTGGATGCTTTTCTGTAGATGGCGGAGAGTTTGATGACGATAGCCTATGAGAATGGAGTAAATCTGTTCGACACGGCAGAAGTGTACGCTTCAGGCAGGTACGATTCCCAGCAGTGCATTGGATGAGAGATTCTGTGTACTGCATTCTGCTGTTACTCCTCTGTTCTGTCAAGTACTGGACCACAGACATAGATTTGGGGCTGAATATGTGTTCGTCCCTGCCAGTAAACATGTTTTTCTGAATGTATTTTGTGAAAAATAAGTGTGCATAAAAAAGTACATTTTTCATATATAATATAATATAAATTCAATAAAAGGACACTTAAAATAAGTGTATTTACAAAGCATGTTCATATGTTTCTTAACACATAAGTAAGCTTTGACTTAAGTCCACTCAAAAAGTTGACTTTAAAGTACATTTAAAATCTTTGTTTTAATAATATTTTGTCATGCTTTAAAGGAATAGATCACCCAAAAATTAAAATGTGCTGACTAACATACTAAAGCACACTAAATCACAAGTACTTGATTTAAATTTTTACTGTAGTACTATGTTATTCAATATTACATTTAAAGTTAATAAATTATAAATATACTAAACTGCAACATCATCATTACAAATGTGCAACTACAAATAGGTTTTGAAATATGAGCTTCAATGAAAAATGAAATGACATTAAAGTATATTTTTCTTTTCCATAAATGTAATATTTCCTTAAGCATTCAGTCCCACTTTATATTAAGTGGCCTTAACTACTATGTACTTACATAAGTACAATGTAAAAACACGTATGTGCACAATAAGTGCATTGTACCAAATGATTAATTTAAATGTAAGTACATAGTAGTTATGGCCACTTAATATAAAGTGGGACCAAGCATTCTTATAAGAACTTTTCTTCTTAATAAGCTCTCTCCTTATTAAGTACTCTTCTTTTTAACAAGGCTCTGGTTGTTTTATTTTTACTTCTCTCTTTCTGACTACACAGAATTGAGATCTTCATTTGTAGGCAGCGGTGTAGTGCTGTCCAGTCCTGCTCCTGGAGGGCCTTCCTGCAGAGTTCCGCTCCAATCCTAATTAAACAGATGTGTTGGAGCAGACTGGAGCTAAACTCTGCAGGATGGAGGCCCACCAGGAATAGGATTGCGCAGTCCTGATGTAGTGTGATATAACCTAGCTACTTAGGTTAAAATAAAGGTGGAGTGAACTGAACAGCTGTTTGGAGATCTTTGTGATTGGAGGGATTATGTAACGACATGCTGATCGTCATTTGGAGCTGTGTAGATTACATAAATGACCTTTGAGAAGTCAACATGTCCTGTGGTGTGACATGCTATACTCCATCTAAAACCATTTCCCTTTCAGTCGGTCACTCTCGACGTCACGTCGGATGACCGACGAAATTGGGATCTCGCTTAGAGAGACCAATCTACTTCGAGTGTAAACTAAACGAGCCAATGCACATTGGCATGCGATTATTGCATCCAGCTGCCGCTGATCACAGCGTGAGTATAAGTAGGCAGCAGATGCAGCGCATATTCAGGTTTTCGCTGAGGAGCCGAGCCGGTGACCCGGCCGCTCAGCGGTGGTACAGGAGCTGTGGCGACGGGACGTGACGTCTCCGTTCCCTCCTTCAGGGAACGAGGGTTACCATACATAACCGAGACGTTCCCTTTCAGTCGGTCACTCTCGACGTCACGTCGGATGACCGACGAAATTGGGATCTCGCTTAGAGAGACCAATCTACTTCGAGTGTAAACTAAACGAGCCAATGCACATTGGCATGCGATTATTGCATCCAGCTGCCGCTGATCACAGCGTGAGTATAAGTAGGCAGCAGATGCAGCGCATATTCAGGTTTTCGCTGAGGAGCCGAGCCGGTGACCCGGCCGCTCAGCGGTGGTACAGGAGCTGTGGCGACGGGACGTGACGTCTCCGTTCCCTCCTTCAGGGAACGAGGGTTACCATACATAACCGAGACGTTCCCTTTCAGTCGGTCACTCTCGACGTCACGTCGGATGACCGACGAAATTGGGATCTCGCTTAGAGAGACCAATCTACTTCGAGTGTAAACTAAACGAGCCAATGCACATTGGCATGCGATTATTGCATCCAGCTGCCGCTGATCACAGCGTGAGTATAAGTAGGCAGCAGATGCAGCGCATATTCAGGTTTTCGCTGAGGAGCCGAGCCGGTGACCCGGCCGCTCAGCGGTGGTACAGGAGCTGTGGCGACGGGACGTGACGTCTCCGTTCCCTCCTTCAGGGAACGAGGGTTACCATACATAACCGAGACGTTCCCTTTCAGTCGGTCACTCTCGACGTCACGTCGGATGACCGACGAAATTGGGATCTCGCTTAGAGAGACCAATCTACTTCGAGTGTAAACTAAACGAGCCAATGCACATTGGCATGCGATTATTGCATCCAGCTGCCGCTGATCACAGCGTGAGTATAAGTAGGCAGCAGATGCAGCGCATATTCAGGTTTTCGCTGAGGAGCCGAGCCGGTGACCCGGCCGCTCAGCGGTGGTACAGGAGCTGTGGCGACGGGACGTGACGTCTCCGTTCCCTCCTTCAGGGAACGAGGGTTACCATACATAACCGAGACGTTCCCTTTCAGTCGGTCACTCTCGACGTCACGTCGGATGACCGACGAAATTGGGATCTCGCTTAGAGAGACCAATCTACTTCGAGTGTAAACTAAACGAGCCAATGCACATTGGCATGCGATTATTGCATCCAGCTGCCGCTGATCACAGCGTGAGTATAAGTAGGCAGCAGATGCAGCGCATATTCAGGTTTTCGCTGAGGAGCCGAGCCGGTGACCCGGCCGCTCAGCGGTGGTACAGGAGCTGTGGCGACGGGACGTGACGTCTCCGTTCCCTCCTTCAGGGAACGAGGGTTACCATACATAACCGAGACGTTCCCTTTCAGTCGGTCACTCTCGACGTCACGTCGGATGACCGACGAAATTGGGATCTCGCTTAGAGAGACCAATCTACTTCGAGTGTAAACTAAACGAGCCAATGCACATTGGCATGCGATTATTGCATCCAGCTGCCGCTGATCACAGCGTGAGTATAAGTAGGCAGCAGATGCAGCGCATATTCAGGTTTTCGCTGAGGAGCCGAGCCGGTGACCCGGCCGCTCAGCGGTGGTACAGGAGCTGTGGCGACGGGACGTGACGTCTCCGTTCCCTCCTTCAGGGAACGAGGGTTACCATACATAACCGAGACGTTCCCTTTCAGTCGGTCACTCTCGACGTCACGTCGGATGACCGACGAAATTGGGATCTCGCTTAGAGAGACCAATCTACTTCGAGTGTAAACTAAACGAGCCAATGCACATTGGCATGCGATTATTGCATCCAGCTGCCGCTGATCACAGCGTGAGTATAAGTAGGCAGCAGATGCAGCGCATATTCAGGTTTTCGCTGAGGAGCCGAGCCGGTGACCCGGCCGCTCAGCGGTGGTACAGGAGCTGTGGCGACGGGACGTGACGTCTCCGTTCCCTCCTTCAGGGAACGAGGGTTACCATACATAACCGAGACGTTCCCTTTCAGTCGGTCACTCTCGACGTCACGTCGGATGACCGACGAAATTGGGATCTCGCTTAGAGAGACCAATCTACTTCGAGTGTAAACTAAACGAGCCAATGCACATTGGCATGCGATTATTGCATCCAGCTGCCGCTGATCACAGCGTGAGTATAAGTAGGCAGCAGATGCAGCGCATATTCAGGTTTTCGCTGAGGAGCCGAGCCGGTGACCCGGCCGCTCAGCGGTGGTACAGGAGCTGTGGCGACGGGACGTGACGTCTCCGTTCCCTCCTTCAGGGAACGAGGGTTACCATACATAACCGAGACGTTCCCTTTCAGTCGGTCACTCTCGACGTCACGTCGGATGACCGACGAAATTGGGATCTCGCTTAGAGAGACCAATCTACTTCGAGTGTAAACTAAACGAGCCAATGCACATTGGCATGCGATTATTGCATCCAGCTGCCGCTGATCACAGCGTGAGTATAAGTAGGCAGCAGATGCAGCGCATATTCAGGTTTTCGCTGAGGAGCCGAGCCGGTGACCCGGCCGCTCAGCGGTGGTACAGGAGCTGTGGCGACGGGACGTGACGTCTCCGTTCCCTCCTTCAGGGAACGAGGGTTACCATACATAACCGAGACGTTCCCTTTCAGTCGGTCACTCTCGACGTCACGTCGGATGACCGACGAAATTGGGATCTCGCTTAGAGAGACCAATCTACTTCGAGTGTAAACTAAACGAGCCAATGCACATTGGCATGCGATTATTGCATCCAGCTGCCGCTGATCACAGCGTGAGTATAAGTAGGCAGCAGATGCAGCGCATATTCAGGTTTTCGCTGAGGAGCCGAGCCGGTGACCCGGCCGCTCAGCGGTGGTACAGGAGCTGTGGCGACGGGACGTGACGTCTCCGTTCCCTCCTTCAGGGAACGAGGGTTACCATACATAACCGAGACGTTCCCTTTCAGTCGGTCACTCTCGACGTCACGTCGGATGACCGACGAAATTGGGATCTCGCTTAGAGAGACCAATCTACTTCGAGTGTAAACTAAACGAGCCAATGCACATTGGCATGCGATTATTGCATCCAGCTGCCGCTGATCACAGCGTGAGTATAAGTAGGCAGCAGATGCAGCGCATATTCAGGTTTTCGCTGAGGAGCCGAGCCGGTGACCCGGCCGCTCAGCGGTGGTACAGGAGCTGTGGCGACGGGACGTGACGTCTCCGTTCCCTCCTTCAGGGAACGAGGGTTACCATACATAACCGAGACGTTCCCTTTCAGTCGGTCACTCTCGACGTCACGTCGGATGACCGACGAAATTGGGATCTCGCTTAGAGAGACCAATCTACTTCGAGTGTAAACTAAACGAGCCAATGCACATTGGCATGCGATTATTGCATCCAGCTGCCGCTGATCACAGCGTGAGTATAAGTAGGCAGCAGATGCAGCGCATATTCAGGTTTTCGCTGAGGAGCCGAGCCGGTGACCCGGCCGCTCAGCGGTGGTACAGGAGCTGTGGCGACGGGACGTGACGTCTCCGTTCCCTCCTTCAGGGAACG